TTCTGTCATGTTACTTTTTTAAAAAGAGATATTTATGGACTTGTAATGTAGGTTTCAATCATCTCTGTCAGTGGAGGAAATATGAACAGAAAATGTGTAGGAAAAATATAGCAAATACCTTCACATAGACATAGATGCGTCTGAGTTACATGACTCTTCAGTTTGCTCCAACAGCTGACTTACTGTAATATTTTTCCTGTGTTTGTTCCTAACCACATTTGTGAACCTTTTGTTCTTTTCCTGTGACTATATAAAAATTTCATATATGATAGAATAGTGTTGAAACTTATCAGCAAGAGATTAATATTCACATAGAACCATATTCCACAAATAACAAACTGATACAAGAAAGGCTATTTAATAGTGTACCATTACATTTGCATTGAAATATGGCCTTATGTTAGTGAGTACTGTGGAACCAGGCAACTGTTCTCCATTTGTATTTAGGTCAGAAGTTATCCATCTTTGTTTGAAGAAGGAGAATGCTTTAGAGAAAAGGATTTTGTGCCTAAAATCTTGTCATTTTCTCAATGACTTTCTTCAATGGCAATTTCTCAGCTGTTCTGATGGGAGATATTACTGCTGCCTGCAAATTCTGACTTGTGAAATCTCTGTAGGTAGTGATCAGCATGTTTTCTTGGCAGTTTTGGAGGATGTTGGTCCTCCCGCTGCCAAGACTTGAGACTAATGATATTTTATTTGTCTTCACCTTCTCTGGAAAGTTTGAGACTGAGTTGTCCTTTCAGTCCTCATGTTGCTGTTGTCATCTAAATGAACCTCTAAAGACCCTATTTAGTCGGTGAAAATTTTCTGTTTGGGTTTTATTGCTTAGCGTTCTCCTGAATCCAGTTTGCCTGAACATGAACATAATAAAAAATGTGGTCCCTGTTCTGACTTTCTTAGCAGAGGTGTAAGGTCTGTATAATCTCAAAATTGGACATCTGTAGTAACTCGTGGCTATATCTGGGACTGTTTTTCTTGGCTTCTTCAGTGATCAAGAGAAAAGGCGAATGTATTTGGCCAGTCTTTGACATCTGCTTTATGATGGGATGGATCACAACTTGAAAGAGGATGTCCCTCTGTCACTAACAAAGGGGTCAAGGCAAGTAACTCATACATAAAGTCTCCTCTGCAGATATATTGTCAAATGAATCCCACACAGTGTGGTCTGCCACTTTTTCAGAGTTGACAAGTTTCAGTTGTTGTAGAATTTCAGAGTTGTAATACTTCAAGCCAACTGAATCCTGGGCAGCATCAAAAGCAGTATGGCCAGCAGGACAAAGGAGGTGATTCTCCTCTTCTACTCTGCTCTTGTGAGGTCTCACCTGAAGTTCTGAGCGCAGTTCCAGTGCCCCCAGCATAAGAACACAAGTGTTGGAGCAAGTCCAGAGGAGAGACACAAAGTTGATAAAAGGTCTGGAGCACCTCCCTTACAAAGATAGGCTGAGGAAGTTGGGGCTGTTCAGCTTGGAGAAGAGAAAGTTGCATGAAGGCCTCACTGTAACCTTACAGTATCTGAAGGGAGCCTACTGGGAAACCAAAGAGGGACAATTCTTCAGGAGCTGGAGCAATAGGACAAAGAGCAATGGGTACAAATTGAAAGAGGACAAATTTAGGTTTTATATTAGAAAGAAATTTCTAACTGTGAGGTTGGCTAGACACTGGAACAGGTTGCCCTGGGAGATTCTGGGTGTCCCAGCGCAGCAGTATTCAAAGCCAGGTTGGATAAGGCCTTGAGCAACCTGGTCAATTGAGGTGTCTGTACACAGGGAAGTGGGGGGACTAGAGGATCCTTAAAGTCTGTTCCAATCCCTTAACTTTCTGTGTTTGTATGATTATATGATTAACAAAAGCAGCTGAAGGAGAATATACAGTATTTGAAAATCTGTTCTCTTACCTCCAGCTCACTGATTTGAATGCAGACTGAGAGTGCTCACAGTCCAACAGCTGTTCAGTGACCTATGTGACATGCTTTGAGTCTTCAGATTCAGCTTTTGCAAAGTCCTAAAAATAACCTTATTTTTGCTATCCATTTGCTACATTGCCACTGCCTGCATGCTTGAGGTGTTTGCTCAGGCATGTTAAACATACTTTATTTGTACCTCCTTGAAAACAAGCTCTTTAGGTAATTATTATGTTAAATGCAAGATTAAGGGGAAGAATACAGATTTATCTGGTCATGACAGCAAACTCTATTGTCTAGAGCTATTACCAACCAGTAAAGTACCAGTCAGAATAGGAGAAGACAGGAACTTCCTAAACACAGAATTGCACTTCAGCTCTCCACTGTCCTGATATCATTTTTCAATGCCAACTAAGACCTTTGTCCTAATTTTGAACATAATCCATGGTTTAACCCCAAGATCCATCAAATTTGTATCTATGAATCCTGCTGACAGCTAAGCTCTTTGGAGACTATACTGACCAGAAAGCTCAGAGTGAAGCTGGGGACACAATGTTCTCTGTTCAGGGCATCTGGCTAAAGAACAACATTTCAGAGGAAAACAGATTAGGAAATGTTTCAAAAAGCCATGGGAAAGCCTTTCAGTCTCAGAAAGTAAAATATGCAATTTATATTTGTTACATTTTCATTACACAAGAACACTTTCACTTTCTGCATGTCAAATTCATCTGAAAAAGCCATACCCCAATGGAGTTTTGGCCTTAGATGCTTTGGAGATTTCCCTGAATACCACTTTGCACTTTGCTACTGTAAATGCCTTCATATAATGCCAGGACTTCTGTGAGCGGTATAAAAATCTGAAACATACAGAAGAAAGAGTGTTTTCCTTCTCAGGACTACAGCCATTGAGAGGGCAGGTGGTACAATTGTACCAGGACTTGTTGGTTGAAGCAAACATGAGTGAAAATGAAGGCAAGTGCCAGAGAAGTTAGTCAGATTTCTTTTTTCCTCATGGCAAGGCACATGCAGCCCCTGGTACTTCAGGTTATTTGGGGAAGATAGTAGTCTTATTGCATCTTGAAGAGGTTTACATTATCCTCTGTTCAATATCCAGGGGATGTTACTATGTGCCTGTCAGGACTAGAAGCCAGTAAAAGGATTAAAAATGCAACTTTCTTTGAAACATTAATGCAAAATCTGTATCTGCCTAGTTGAATGCCTAACTTACTTAGGCTTTCTGAGGATTATATAACTATACATTTTCCATATTCAACACTGTTTCAAGATTTCCTGAAAAGGCTGGCTATCTGGAGCCCACAACACAGAAACATTAATATATTAATAGTGTCTGCTTGTGTAACTGAGAAAAAAAGCTGTGGAGTGTTATTCAATCAAGTGATATTAGACAAGCCAGAAAACACTTGCAGTACCATTTTAAAATGCTTTGATTGTAGTGGTCGTAATGCAATGGCATTGCCACGAAGTCCCTGGTACATATTCAAGACACTCTCATACAGACTATCAGGGGACTCCATGGGGGTTCAAGGGCTGTTTTCTGTAGGCAGTGAGACTTCACTGGTACAAACAGTGGTTTTGTTGTCTTGAGTCTGCAACTGATTACTAAAGGAAAGAAAAAGGTCTCTTAACCTCCCCCCCGCCATTATTGGTGTTATGCCCTTCACCAAAGGTTCCCAGCCCTTTCATTAGTGGAGACACTCACAAGCAGTGAATGTGAAGTTTGTAGCAGCTGCAGGGGTAGATTTCACAGAGCAAAAGTAGGAAGGAGGAGGTGAAGGAAACTCCAGAAATCTATGTAATAAAAATGTTTCCAACCAAAACCTTAAAATAATAACTATGCTGTTCATCAGGCATTACAGCCAATAGCTCATGCTCTGTCCCATTGCATCATACACTTGCATCCCACTGGTAATGACTTGTTCTTTGAATTGCAATGAACCTATTTAAGACCAATTAAGAAACAGATCTTGAATAGTCCTGCAGTATTACAGCTCAGTACTCACAGAAGATGACAATGATGTTTTAATTAAATATGGGAGCAAAAGGTCTCAAACTGAAGCTTACAGCTAACTAAGCAGCAGTCATTTGGTTACTGAACAGGCAAGGAGCTTTATGGTCTCCTTCCACATGGTTCAGCCTCCATAGCTCTCAAGTTTGCTTAAGGCTAAATAGCTTTCCTAATCTATTATTGCACAGAAGAAGTCCCTCCCGCCCCCATTTTCCAGACCATAGTTTGGCATGTTTTAACAGACTATGATAATCCCTTGGTTTTTCAGGGAAAAAAGTATTGCTGATAAAGTGATTTCATTTAGGCAAATTAACTCTGTTAGTTACATGAAAGATTGAACACTGTTATCTTATGCTGGTATGTGCAAAGTCTCATAAGTGCAAAATACACATTAAGGGCCAATTTTGCATGAAAAACTCCTGATAGTATAAGAGCTGGTTAATATTTCTGAATTATTAAGTCTGACAGCATAATCATGCTTTTTTGTTGTTTAGGCCGTTGATACCAGATGTTTAATGCACAATAAAATGTAATAGTGTAATAGGAGGCATTTTAAGGAAGTGCAATTTTGTAAAATGAAGAAACTACTTGGGGAAATTTAAAGCATAAAAACAGATGTTGGAATTTGGAGCTGTTTTAGTTTTACATAAAGTGGAAGCCTTCTTTATAAACCTGAAGGTATTCCCAATCACTTGCTTTTGTCTCCTGGCATTGTGGCCCAGCTCTGGCTGGGAAGTCAGGTCTGCGTGTTGAAGTGTTGGTTCTCACTCTTACACAGTGTTCAACCCCGCGTCTTGGCTGTGGTCATCGAGAACCTGGGGCAGGGCTGATTGTTCCGCACCTGCTGGTTGTTTACTACGTGGAGACCACAGGACTGAATGAAAAGCTTGACTTCAATGTTCTTCCTGGTGTAGTATTGGATTCTAAGAAAGTCTTGCAGGTGTTTTCCGGGACATCAGATTAGAATTTGGATGTGTTACCAAGCTAGTTATAAAAGCTGGCTGAATTTTGACTACATGATGCTTTTGTAAACTATTAAATTGAGTTTCTAAAAAAAACCAAACCTGTATATTAGGTTAGAACACATATATTTATTTTAAATATATGCTTCATTAAATATATGCATATTCAACGAATTGCACATTAAATACTAACTTAATATGGAAACAACAGACAGTAATGAGTGCTGATCAGTATTATAGGATTGTTGAGTCTAATAATACAACCATGCTTCCCTTCTCCTTGCTGCTTCTTTCAGCACCAGATGTTTTAAGCACAGTAAAATAGAACCTTAATATTCTCTGTAATTAATGGGTGAAAGCACAGAAATATATACAGGCACATTGTGTTTCTATTAAGATGTTGTCATATAATCAAAACAGATGTTCCTTTAAACAATTTTCACTTGGTGTGCTTGGAATTCCCCTTGAGAAATGAGAAGCTGTGGGAATTTTTCATGACATAAAAGAGTGAGTTTCATACTTAAAAAATAATTGTTATCATACACAGCCAGAAACTTTGTCCCAGCAACAGCCATTCTGGTTTGATTATATATCTCAGTGCACATTTCAAGATGTCCAGATCAACTGAGAGAAAGAGTTTACTTACAGCAGATTAGCTGTTCTTATCTCTTATTATCTTTTATTATCTCTTACTATCTCTTGTTTTGTTTTCTCCTTTATATTTTTTTTGTTTTGTTTTGTTTTTGAAAGTCACTACTTCTTGTTGCCTCCAGTAAGTTCTGTCAGATCTGCTTTGACAACCACCTGAACATAACTGGTATTGCAACTGTCTTCAGTGACTGTGATTTTCAGAGAACAGCTGCTGAGAGCTTTTTAATGACAGGGTTTTTTTAGGGTTTCACAACACAACCATCCAAAAGAAAGCAATCAGATAGGCTTTTGTTCAAATAGGGTTGGGTCATTCACTTAATGGAACAGTTCATTACATCTTCAAAGATTTTGCAAGTATTTTTCAGCAGAATATCTTTCACAAGTGACGAAATTTTCAACCCATGCAAAAGTGTGGAGAAAATGAAAGAAGGCAGTGAGAAGCTATACAAATAGAAGCTAGGATCAAATCAGAACTCAGGGCTCAGACATTTTGTGAGATTCTTTCATCTTTTTTATTTATCTCATATGAGCTGAAAGGTGATATCTATCTGTGAATACATGCTTAGCCCATGACAAAGGAAAGATTAATTACCCCACCTCAGTCCATGATGAAAGAAGAGGCTTAGATTGTGTACAACAATGTTCCTCTTGTCAATGGTCTTTGAATCCCATGTTTAATCTCAATCATGATTAATAAAATACATACACAGATAATCAATATATTTGCAATAATTTGATAAATAAGGATAAATCTTCCATTGACCAGTCCTTTCATTACTGGTCTCCCCAAGCTTCAAACGATGTGACCAAAGGCTGCTGCCACGTGGTCTAGATCATTAAGCAGGACAGTAGGAAGATACTGAAGGTTAGTTGGTCAACGCTGTTCCACAGCAAAGCAAAGATTCAGGGACAGATACTGGATCTAAGATTGCTGCACCACCTAATTTCAAATTAAAACAGTTACCTAACCTTTCATTGCACAATCTGGTAATATGTTTTGTAAACAGATGTGTAGTAGACAGCTGTTTTGTTTAACAACCAACTGAGAAAACCAACTCTGGCATGTAGTAAATAAACAGATTAAATGTTAGCTTTTGAATTGCTTCTTTCAGGAATACCAGCCTGAAAGTATTGGTGGAGCCATGTGTCTTCTCCTTTCTCTTTTGGAAAACAGGTGAACTTCTCTGTTGCCAGCACATGTAAAAGAGAAGCAGAGTCAATCCACTCTCCAGTCTGTACACTACTAGTTTAGTTTATGCAAATATGATTTTAAAAAGAAAAAATCAAAACTGTGGAATTTTGGTGCAAAACTGCACTGATTTGTAAACATGAATTTGTAAACATTAATTGCAGAGGGAAGTACAAAGAATAGTACCCTCATTTGAACAAACAACACTCACCTCTCAAAATCCTACTGATTCATCACAGGATTGCAACAGTTTTTCCTGTTTCTAGTCACTTAGCAGGGTCTGGTCAAGTTTTATGAGAATTTCAGTTGATACATTTTGGAAATTGTCTTTTTGATTTTTTCTGGGGGAAAAAAAAAAAAGAAAAATTCATTTCTGTATGGTTTTGTGAACTTAACATTTGCTTCCCTCATTTTGAGTAATCCTGGATAGGTAGAATGTTGGAAACATCCTTCCGCTATGCCTCCATATGGCCAAAATTAAAAATGAACAGCTGTCAAAAGTAACTTACTATTTAATGAGGAATCAGAAAACCAGGAGAAAAAAAAAATATAGTCTTTGTTCTTTTTTTGCAATACATACTTATTTATCTTGGCAGACTAGTCAGCTGAGTATTATTTGCATTAAATTGCATGACTCCTGAAGTGTCAATAATTACATGAAATTACCAAAACAGTGGAAAGAAATATTTTTTGAAATTTGTACACATTCATTTGTATATATTTACTTGCACAACATAGTAACTATTTAATATGATAAAGATTCCCAGTCCAAAGTTCAGTATTGCTAGAAATAACTCACACAGGGTTGCTGTAATAAGGAACATTCTTGAAAAGCATGGAATTTTTTCAAGTACTTTTCTGTCTTTTTTAATGAAAAAAATAACTAAAAGAGAAAAACAAACCAACAGTCTTCTATCTAACAATAAGCTCCATGCAAATCAATTGGTTATGATAGAAATTCCCCTTGGGAGCAAAGAACACAAAAAATACTTAGCCTGAAACTGAAGTCATGATGATTCCTTTGCTTGGAGAAGAATGTCAGTCTAACATAAGTGTTATCTGCAGCTTCCCTAACCCCAGCTGTACTTTTCAAGGATACAGATGACTCTGATGATAAGCCAGGCTGGCTCTACAGAGCACTTTGTTCATTCCCCAAAAGATCTGCTGCTCGAGGACTTGGTGTCAAGATAATTTACCTTGCTTTGCTTGCTATGCCCCGGGAGATTGAAAAGTACTCCTGCTCCCAAGAGCTTTCATAAGAGATGTGTTTTTTAAAAGTCTGTTTAAAGTCAGGTGGTTTTGTCTGTTTCCTTGCAAGAGGACTCTTCCTGACAGTATTTATTTATTTCCAGAAGGTTTAGGTCAACATGCCTACTGTATTGATCATACAGGCATATCCTGATCTCAGTTAGGCTGGAGTAAAGCAGATTAAATCATTTCAAAACGATGCTTAGAATACAGTGTATAGTTTTGTTGTATGTGAGCTAATCTTCTCATATTTGCTTGGAGAGCTACAACTGGGGCAATGTGAGAATTCTTGAGTGTTATCGTCGTTACTTCTGCATTGCACACAGATTCTGTTTCACTGTTTTTGTGTTGTTCATATAGTCACAAGCCACCATGGAGGAAAATTAAACTTCACAAAAATTAAACTTCGACCACTCCCTTTGATTGTAAAGGGTTTAAAAATTAGCATGCTTGAGGATCAGGCATATTAACAAGACTGTAGGCAGTGTTGGTTTAGAAACTGATAACTAAAATATTAATCACTTATTAAAAATTCGCTTTTCTTTAACAGAACCAAATTTTAATGCCAAATCTCCCTCCCTCATAAAACAAGCAAACAAACAAGCAGGGATGTTTGTACATTAAATATGTACAAACAATATGAAGCTGGGGTGAAAGGATAAATCATTTGTGTCAAACTTACTGTCAGGAGGAGGAAGGCACTTTATCAGAGTGACAGTTCAACCAGGTACGAACAAAGGTTGTCTTGTTCAAGAGCAGATTTTGAACACATTGTTCCAGAACAAATGATTATATAAGACAACAAAACAAGGAATTAAACAAGACACATAGGAGCAAGGGGAGCAGGTAAACAAGTGAAATGGAAACACAAAAAGACTGAGTGACAATTTTGGGGAGAAGGGAAAAATACTGCTAGCAATCAACCAAGGTGGGATTTAGTTCCATACTTAAACACCTTAAACTTATTTTGCATGCATTTACATCTGCTTTTCGGTGTCCACTTGATGCTTACTGAAGAGCTATGCTGAGTGGAGCCCAGAACTAACGATGCTAGTGCCTGTCCATTCAGGGATAGTTGTCACCATTTACCATAGGGAATTTAACTATCCACCTTATCTGTAGACACCTACATATTCACCTTTGTCCATTAAAACACACTTAAGTGTCCTGATCTTGAACACAATAGGCTGTGTTGAAAAGGCAGATGATGATGTGAGATCTGAGATCTAACACTGGAAGCCAGGCAAATGTTACATTAACCAGAGGAGAGGAGTGGATGAAGAAGGAAGCTTTAGCATTGAGAATGGCTGCTAGCACGTAGGAACTGTGTCTCCTTCTCTTCCTCCATCCTACACTGAATAAATTGGGAGGAAAATCAGGTGAGGTAGCCTACACTAAAGACACTGAAAGGGATATAATAATGTCCATTTAGTGCAGTTTCAATTTATATATGCAGATATATTCCAATTCATAGGAATATGAACTGGAATATATGGGCATGTATAGACATATATATATAGGCACATATAGACATATATAGGCAAGTCAACCCTTAGAAATACTTGTGCTGCTAGGTATTAAGAAAACAACAACAACAACAAAACAAATATAATGTAATATAATTAATATAGAACAAAAAAAAGAGATTTTAAAATCGTAGTTCTACTCCCACTTCTTATATTTCATCTGCACCAGTGCCTGTGAGAATAAGGGAATGATACACATTCAGAGGCTGATGGTAAACAGAGAGGATAGTCCTCAAGGTTCTTCATTAGTGAAGAATACATCACATTTCCACATAGCCCTTTTGCTGAACATGCTAGGCCATCTGCTCATGAGGCTTTTGGTTTCATTTCAGGCACAACTGGCTTCAGCCCACCTCTAGCAGTGAATAAAAAGAAAGTTTCTAAAAAATGAATTACTGTCCCAAAACACAAATCACTTTTTGCAAATGTTGTGATAAAGTTTCCAAACAATGCAAAGTGGGCTAACATATGTGCAAACCTCTGTGGGCTGGTGAGGAGGGAGGCATTCTCAGTGTAGCTCTCTGTGGCCATGTAAATTTTCATTTTAATATACCAGTATTAAAATCTATATTTGTTCTTCCTTTTTTGTTAGTCACTACTGGAAAAATGCTTTTGTTCAGTTTAAGTATCCAGGCTTAACAACTGCTTTTCTTTTTCAAATCAGAATGGTAATTTCAGTGATCCTAAGAATGTAGCAAAAAGGACACACACTACATTATTTATTTAGTTATTTATGGACATTTTTTTACTGTGGCTTTTCACTTGAAACAGAACCATCATCAACTCAGGATCAGGTCAGAGAGCTGCTCAAAATCTCCATGGGTGGAATAAACTGATCTCTCTCTCTAACCTCTACCACTGCTGCATTACTCTTCTGCTTCCTGAAAACCAACCCCAAGCCATAGCTTGAGTTTACTGTTTGCTTTCAATAAAACGGTGTTTTGTTTTGTTTTGCATTATTGAAAGCAAAGCCTGTAAGAACAGTTCAAGCATTGGACCACTTGATCAACAAAAGTCAGGTAGAACCTAAGGGACACAGACAGGCTCATTGGAACTAAATACTTCTTCTGTATGCAGCACTTATTGAGGATCCTGTGCCACAAGCATTTCCATCCTGTGAATGGTATTAGAAGGAATTGTCAGAGAAAATAAACTATCTAGTTTTGATCAGGTGTTAGTTACTGCTTTTCAAAATGCCATACATCTAAAAGAGAGCTGACTGAGGCAGTGGAGCTGTTGGGGATCAATACTCTGCTTGTCACAGGAAAGACAGCAGGGCACTGCTGGGTCTGTGCTGTTGAGTATTACCAGTAACCTGTCTTGAAGGGCATTGTCTAAGTGTTTTGGCAGACTAAGCTCTCGCTGCTTTATAAGTTTACACCAAAAAAACGGACATAGGTGGTTTAAACTTTCCATATAGTAATCTGTACATAATTAAAAATGGCATTTGTGGTTCATCAGTGGCCTCCTGATACTGGAAGAGCAGGTGTTTTGTTGACATTTTAAGGTTGAGATGATCTTTTAATTTGAAATTCTCAGTGCTATAGCCTGCTGACTGCCAAATTACAGCACTGAGGAGCCTTTTAGCAAGGGAGGAGGACACTACAGGCTGGGCTTAGGCAAGACACTTGACTTGCTTCGACTGGTTTGAGTAGTCTGGAATCTAGTTCCATGTTTTGTTGAACCTGTATTGCCTCTTGATCTTGATCTGTGCTAGGCAGCTCTTTATAGAGGTGTAACATCAAATAAATTAGTGGACTTGGACTGCTCAGTCTAACTGAAGAATTGAGGCTCTTGACTCTTTGGATCAATCTATATGACCCAGTGGTTGAAACATTTTGTCAGGGAAGACATAACTCCTTCGGTACAGCACTGTCTGCTGAGATGTGTGAAAAGTCTAGCATTGCTATGACCCAAAATACTGCCTTTTCATGAAGGTATGGAAGAACTTCAGCCTTGAGTGACACTGATCTGGCAGTGTCCAGCCCAATGCTGGACCAGACCCAAAGATTTAAAGTGGAGCTGAGGCACACAGCCCTCAGGCTGTAGCAGCTCTTTGCCAAGATGTTAGAGCCAAAATACAGGTATACTTTGGACTCACATGCTCAAAGCTAAGCGTGACAACAAAACATTTCAAGGTGAAGGTTAAGGGTCATGTGTTTAGCAGAATCAGACATTTCTAACTCCAATCATTATTACACATAAACAGGATCTAGAAATGCACATGGGTGGGGTTATCAATAAGGTAATAATAATAACTAAGTCCATAGTTACAATATTAAATATTACAGTAAAATCAGGTGTTTGGGAAGGACCACACCTTCTCTTTGTTCTGAACAGAAGCACAACATCCCTCGGAAACAGGAGACAGCCTTTACAGAAATTTTTCTGTAACCAGCTTCTACAAGGATCTAGTAGCTTACACTACAGACTTTGATAAAAATGGCTTCCTAAAAAAAAAGAGTGGGTCATTTGTGATAGCTAGCATGATGATATCTACTTTTCAGAGTTCTGAGTCATAGCCCCATCCTGGCAGAGCTGTACTGGAGACAAGAGAGAGAGAGAGACACTCCCATGCATACAATATGATGAACGAAGTGATTGTTGCCTCACTCCATTTGCTGTCTTCTAGAGATGATATATTAGTCAGAAAATGGAAAAGTTACTTGCAGACTCTTTCACCACAAGTCCTCATTTTAATATTTACAATAAATAACACTAATTGTTAAGAATGAATGAGTGAGAAGTACCGGAGTTATTCACATCTAGGTGTAATTTCAGAGCATCTTTTCTCTTGTCCAGTTCAGGAGAAAAAGACGTCACTTGAAAGTCAACATGTTGCACTGCCAATAAATCACAAGATAAAATGCTTTGATTTAGTGTCAGTTAAAGTTCTTTTTAAAATATAAGTGAATTGACACACCAAATTTTATTTAGTAGGTTTTTTTCATAATTTCCTATATTTTTATTTACAAAAACAGTGTAGAAGGATGGATACCACAGTATGGAGAAAATATTTGCCTAGTATTTGACTTTCTGTAAACTTCTAAGGGCAAAATTTTATTATTCAGAAAAGAAAAAATACTTAACAATTCCTGCACATATTTTACTGCTTTCAAAATTGTTGAGATAGAAACTTACAAAGGTATCAATTTTAATAGGTGTTAGAATAATATGCTATTTTCCAGCAGATGAATAATTATACTATTACACTTTTCTGCTTCATTAAGATTTCCCCTGACTTTGGAAGGAATTCTAAATGTGAAAGACATATAGACTCAAGTCCTTGGTGTTGTTCTCAGTGCTGAAATAGTATCTGTTACAAGAACAAAATTTCCAGCAGATGCCTCTCTCTATGTCATTGAACTTCAGTAGTGTCTCAATTTGAGTTCAATGAGACCATTCAGTCTTTTAGAAATAATGACAGTGATAAATGGAATGAAGACCAACTTTTTTTCTGAAACATAAATATAAAATGAAAAATACAACTTAATGATGGATGATTTAAATGGTTCCAAGGTGCAGGAACAAGCTGGAGTGCGGCACATCAGTTCGCACAGCAGTTCACACAGGAAGGGCTCCTCTCCAGCTATTTGTGTGGAGCCAATAGAGGCAGAAAATGGATTAAGTACCCAGTAAGGAAGAGCAAAGAGATGCTTTTAGCTGCAGTGTTTAGCTTTCTTAGTTGTGGTGTTGACATGCCATCAAGCTCGATCCCCTGTGGCTGCCAGGGTCACTGGCCTGGCCATGTCAGAGACCTCCAGCCAGCCAGGCCTGCTGATGGCAGATGTAGCTCTCCAGGTCACAGGTTGCCAGGAGCGCCTGAAGCTTCTTTCGAAAGTTGGGATGACAAAGCGCTATTTTGCAGAAAGCGTGCTGTATTTGAGGAGCTGTATTGCAGGTGGAGCTACAGGAAAAAGTGAACACTCTATGCAGTATCCAAGAGAATGAGCAAGAGATAGACTGGCTATTTTCAGCAATGCTACAGTCTCAGGATCCCAGGAGTCTTGAACCTCCATTGTGGTAAAGAAGCAGATGGACTCAGAACACTGCAGGGTAATTAGTCAAAGGACTGTTAAATTAGCCAGGGGTCTGTTAAAGATGAAGGCTGGAGGCACATCACAGCACATACCAGCAAGAAGGTTCCTCTTTCTCTGAATTTGGCAAGTAGGACTGGTACCTTTTACAGCAGGTATGGGGCTCTGGATGTAGAAGGCCAAACAACTGGTGAGGTATGTGAAGATCCTTCTGGGATGGTGGGGCCTCCTGAAACGACACCACCTGCACCCTGCACCAGGACCTCCTCTGTTAACAGGAAAGGATAGCTGTGATAAGAGACTGATAGGCAGTCTGATAGGCAGACCTGACCCAGCTCACAGGGAAGTCTGCTGTCTCCCAGGGGCTTGGATACTGGAATTACTGGAAAACAATCCAGTAAGTCTAGTAAGGCCCTCTGATTATTATCCACTATTGGTTGTTCAAACTGGCAGCAATGAAATAAAAAAAAAAAAAAACCAAAAAAAAACCCACAAAAAAACAGTCCGAGGGCAATCAAAAGAGGCTTCAGTAACAAGGTACATACGGCCTCAGTTTTGACTTGCGGGCATAGGCTGGCTGCATACCTATCTCCCACCTCCCATTTGAAACAATCTGTGCTTGCTTCACTCTTTAGGGAGAAACTGAAATGAAGTAATTTCTGTGGTCCCATTTCAGACCTGCCTGAATTTAGTGTCTATCTACTCACTGGAACACTTAATTTAGCAAAAGTATCTATTTAGGGTAGAGTCCAAAGTACAGACTCTACCCCATACTCCGCCCAATTCCTCCAATCGTACCACCTCCCATAGGTGTGGCGCACACTCAGGGCGTCACACATTTAGCAACCCAAACAGTTTTACTGACTTCAGGCTTTGACAGATTTGCAGACCAAGATCACAGTCTGAGTAACATAATGACGGGCCATTAGCCTATGCCCCAGGCCTGCCGTGAGGACTCTGGCACAAGAACCTACATGCCCCATGAACAAGCTGAGCCTTGCTCATTTAGTGTCAAAGGAATCATTCAGATTTGGTTTACTTTCAAAACTGGTGGATCAGGAGCTGATTCATGAGCAAATCAAAAGTATTAACCTAAAGAAATGGAGGGTCAGCCAAAAATGTCCCAGATAGGTGGAGGAAAACAACTCCAGGTTTTAATTTCCTGGTGAACTTTGAGATTCAAAAGTTTCTGTATTGTCTTTGAATGAAGCCATTGCCAAGGAGAAAAACAGTTAAAGTAATAAACATAGAGAATATTGGAAAAGAAAGAAACATACAAGTAATCTTGAAGTACATTTGATTTGATTTTTAAAAGTCAATCATAAAAAGTGCTGGGTAGTACTAAGTACCTTTGATTTAACTGATTGCACATTAACTTTGAGCCAGTGACTGCTAAGTCAAGTTTTGGACTCTCCAGATATATTTCAACTTTACTGTGTTACAAGGTTTTGCTTTTTGTTTTCCAGAAAATGGGGCTTAATTAAAAATATTAACTATAATAAAATATAAACCCAAATCTTTTAAATGATATCTTAATGATGTGATTGAGCAAGATCACTAATACCATGCAATATCAAAGGAACAAGCACTGCATTAAGTTAACAGAATCCAAAGAACACAAATATAAAGGCATGGTTTAAAAAGCTGTAGCACCAATATATTGATAAACTGTGGTCCAGAAATTATAATAAAAAAACTGGTTGTGCAGGAGTACAGCTAGTACCTTGGGATCATTGACAGCTCTAGTCTAATATAGCAGGATTTAGAAATTGTGTGGTTGAGTCATATTGCTTAAGTCGCATTTTAAATCTATGTGAGCTTTTCCTCCTTCAAACTTTATTTGTTAACTGCATTTCTTCGCAGTGTGAATGTTAAAACATAAACATGCATTTGGAGCTGCTGCATATCTCCGCTTTTTAAAATAAAATGTAATTTTAGTTTATAATTACGCAGTGTTTAATTACTAATTAATTTCTATGTAAGCAGTAACTTTGCATTGCTCTTGAAACATTTTTCACCGCACTTTGATCTTATCAGCACTGCTCCACCTTGTTTGCTCTTGCCAAGACAGCTCACAAGTTTTTGAGTGTATTACTGATTTTATTTCTGCTTAGGAGGTCTAGTCTCCTGTTTAAACACTTATCTCCATTTTTTAAAAGGTATTTGCCATATGTATCTACCCTGTTTTACAATGGCCAGCATGCACAACATGAATGCTTACTCATTTTAGGGCAATACCCCAACCACTGACTTTATTTGGTTTGTGCTTATTTCCTGCATTTTACTGTGCGAGGTTTCAGAAATGTCTGTGGGTGGAATCACAGTTGCATGATCATTCTTGACAAACTTGATCGTGATGACAAACTTGTCTGGATTTTACTGTCTCCTTTTTCACGGCTTCTATGTCTAACCATTTGGCTTATATAATATTTTTACATCACAGTCCATCAATAACACACTTTTTAATAGTTCTGAGATTTTTAATCTACAATCTTCAATCATTCATTCTTCTCACTTGGGTAACCATGTGCTCTTTTGACTTTCTCTTGAACTGTTTCTGTTTACAACAGGATTTTCACCCTACTGCTGACTGATTCTTCTAAGGGACAGGACTGTGAGAGATGCATCTTTAATGTTGTCTTTACATACATTCCTTTTTCTCTCCTCCCATCACTTCTCCTATCTTCCAATTTGAGCTATAGCTATGTTCAGTACTCTAGAGAAATGAAAAATGTCCAGATGTTGTTTATATACATACACCTGCCAGCTAACGAGTTAATACATGGTATTTGTTTTTATAATAGTACAAACACTCTTTAGTTGTCCCAAATATTTGCTGCTAGCAAAGACTGCAGTATTCCCAAGGCAAATTAAACTGAATTATAGAATTGAAAAATAAAAAAGCACATTTTGAAGGTTACAAAGTCAGCTATTAGAAAGTTAAAAAATCACAGAATTGTAAGCCTTTTATCAAGGTAAATATAATGTAATTACATTAATTTTTTAGCATAATTTTGCCAAAATCTGAATATATAATCTTGTGCAGGGAATACAGCATTCTTCAAAAGTTTGTTAGGTTACTCAGTGCATACCACTGAGCACCTTACTATATTGCAAATATAAACCCAGTTTAGGCTACACCAGCATTACTATTTTCATGGATAATTATCAGCAGAGAAGTTAAATGCTGGGATATTTTGTGCTAAGAGTGCTTTACATGTTCAAAGGACAAGTCCTTAATGCACAACTGCTTTTGTAGCTAGATACTATAGATATGTATTGCTTTTTACATGCTTAGCACTTTGGGAAGTCAGACCTAAGCTCTCAAACTGACCTGCAGAAAATGAGGGTCTATCAGATAATTAGCCATGGTATGATAGTATAGAAATAATACACAGAAATGGATGGAATATAACTGTGAATCTTTAATCTTTAGTTAACTTAGCCAGGACAGACACTGTTCTAGCAGTCATCCCCTTGCCTCACCAGGTTTCCATCTACAACAAAGAAGAAGCAAGGGTTCTCCAGTCTCTTTGACTACATAATCTAGGTTTATCTATAAAGCTCATTCCTACATTACTTCCTTGTAGATGCATGTATATATTAAAGTCTTGTCATTAAAAATCCAGAGTGAAAATGTGAAAATTCTTCCACATGGCATTTGTAATACAGGTACCTTTTTATTTAGCTCCCAGAATAGGATGCCTCACTTTTCCATAGTCCACTTCTTGGATTGCCAGTCTATGTTCTTGCAATGGTAAAGACTCAGCTTCAGAATGAGTGAAATCAATGGCTTACCTGGTGGCATGCTAGCTATTCCTTCTTCTCCTTCAGTGAATGAGTTTAATGCAAGATTAGGAAATAACCAGATCTCACTGTGCTAGCTATAACAGATAGGAAAATATGGGCTTGTATGTCTTTGTGGCACAGATGGCAGTATGGACAAACAGGACCATGTCTTTTGAGGTTCTGCAATTGTACAAAGTAAAATTGCAGCCAGGAAGACGTGGCATTTTCTGTTGGGCCCTCCTTATCTCAATCATCTTGACCATCGCTTTTATGGGCAAGAGTCAATTTTTGACCCAAATCCCTTTCTTCTTTCCCAGAAAGACTCAGCCTGCAAACTGTAGGAACCATATCAGAGGTTTTTTTACCTAAGTCCTCTTGGATTCTCCTCTCCCACACTGCCATTTCCCATTCCACCTCTGTTCTTGGAATTCGCGTTTGAGTCATATCACAATTCCACATCCTAATCTCTACACTACGACAGTCTGTCGCATACCTCCTCAAAACCTCTGTTCTTACTGTCATCTCCTTTCCTTTGGGTCTCAGATTTCATCTTGCCCATTCATCCTCAGTTTCCCCTCATATGTTCCTCATCCTCCTTTCTTCCCCTTCCTGGCTCCCATTCATGATCTCTTTGTCTATTCAGTTCCTGTTCTTATCCCTGTAGACCTCTCAGCTTCTTTTTTTTTTTTTCCTGATGAGTCCATATGTTGCTGTATGTAGCAAGTATGTGTTTGGCTTGTCATGGCATTCCACATGATAGTGGGAAATGGGACCAAGACAATCGACGTGCAGGGACGGATGAATGGGACTTCTCAGCTGTCTCAGGGTGGGATCTTGTTCAGAGCTCACGCTGATCAGCTGTGATTGACACAGGAGGCCATGGGAGACAGCCTGCAGTGCTGTCTTACAAAAGCACTAAATGCAGATTGGGGTGTACTTGAAGGAGAGAACAGAAAGTGAGAATCGAATTATTAGTCTTGAATTAAGCAAGATTTAAGAGGTCTGTAAGCCTTTTCGTCCTTCACTTAAATCACTGCATTTCCCTTTGCCTGTATTCTAGCAGGAAGGGAGACGGAGAGCAGGGAACAAAAAGGCTTTTAGTTTCATTGCCCTGAATTCAGCCTGATCTCTATTAGCTCAGAGCTTCACTTCCACAGAAAACAGCTGCTGAGCTAAGAGCTGGAAGCAGACCCAGTTCCAGGGGCATCTTCAGAGAATGAAGCCCCAAAGGTCCAGCAGGCCATTATAATGTATAAAACCTCTTTTCTTGTGAAGCTTATAACCTAAATAAATTTGGACAGATTATCTTTGACACAGAGGTTAATTTGTTGACCCCATTTCAAAGTCTAATGCCACTGCCATTTCTCAAAATCGCTAAAAATGTTACCATGGGTATTTTCTTTAACATTGTTAGCAAAAATACTTTTTTTTTTTTTTTTGGTTGAAATAATTCAAGCACACTTGAACCGAAGGCAAGAATGGCCTTGCAGTATTGCAACTGCAATGGTTATAGCAGATCAAAGCTGTAAGCTGTTGAAAATAACCTTTGAATGAGTAGTGCTGGGTGAGTGGAAAAGTAAGCCTTGTTCCCACAGTTGCTTATAACACATATGTCACTGGTGCTTCAGTGGTAGAGAATCTGCTCTTGTCTAAGACTGAGAGTTTAAATCCTTGTGCACATGAAAGCTACCCAGCAGAACAGGCATTTGTCCATGTGCTGCATATAGCAAAATCACACTGTGATGTGTAAAATACTGTACAGATTGCAGTATATACTGTTCAAAGTTTATTTTGAGTCTTCTGCATTTTCATAAGACAAAAAAATATGATCTATATCATCTTACAACATTGGCAGTATGAAACATACACACAGTATGCATTTTGAACTGTAGCATATGTACAGAATGTTCACAATTTAAACAGGAGAAATGTAGCTGAACATCTATCATCTATCTATCTATCTATCTATCTATCTATCTATCTATCTATCTATCTATCTATCTATCTATCTAATCTATGTTTATAGGCTTAATACCATAGTACTAGGAACCTCTCTGAAATCTTTACAACTGAAAAGCCCTCCAAGCTTACCGTATGAATTCTCCATCCACCCCCGATCCACCCCCAACTCATAAAGTACTTGCAAATGCTGTCACCTCTCTCCAGTTTGCAGCTGTTTCTGGAAGTTTTCTAATACATACAAAGGACACTTGAAGAAATTTGTAAAGGCACCACTACTACCGTGATGGAACAACAGAAATTACACCCCACCAGTAAGGATAACAACTAGACACAGTTGTATCCAGCTGGAGAGTAACATTATCCATTTCCAAATATAACAGTATTTGCATTGTTTCTCCTCACTTACGACCATGCGGCAGCAAGAGCTCTTCAAGGAGCTCATGACAGCATGAAACTGAAAATCTCTCCAATTCTTAATAAACTACTTTCCTAACAAGAGACCACATTGCTATAAGCTTAGGCTTGCACCTTCTGAAAACTAAATTAAGTTCCTCTTTCCTGCTAGAGCTATATTAAAGGGAACTGTTCAGCCTCACCCTCTTTCTCCAGTTAGTTGAGATGCCAATATCTATGAATACATCTATTATAATTTTAACTGGTACGTTATGTGTAAATATCATCCAGTTGGATTTGCATTGACGTAATTCATACTATATATAAGACATCAAACTTAAAGATGTTTTAGCTTCCAACTCTTTGAGATTCCTTCACTAGTTAAGAATTTAATTAATCCTCTTGGACTTCTAAAATGGTTGACATAGAACAGTACTCAGCATTCTTAGGGACTCAGGATATTTCAGGGTTTGTTCCCTGTAATTTAAAATGTTTGTGGTGTGGTTCAAAATGGTTTTTGGTGTGAGGGTGGGGTTTTTTTTTTCATCTGCAATTGACCTGAAACAGTAACTGTCAACAAACACAAAAAGTGCAAACTAAAAAAGATTGTTGTAACCCTCTTCACACCCTTTGGCAGAACTACAGTAATCTTGGTGTTTTGATGTTTTGATTATGGGTGAGGGCTTACTTTAGCTGCCACAGCTATTTAATTGTATGTGGACAGTTATTTCTCACCAAACTGAACTGAAACACTAAATTTTCACACAAGAGGTCACTTGTAAAATGAGTAATACTTTACTATGTAATGTCTTACAGTACAATGCTTTTCAGTTTTGAATTAGTCCTTTTCCATGAATTTACAAGACTAGTAGCTAAGAAACCCCTTGGGATTCCCAAGCTGGGGATTTCAAATAGAGTTACTTGCAAGAAGTTCTAAAGAACTACAAATGAAGCATTAGTTTCTCTGATGGTTTCCCTCCATGCATCACATTGCACAATAAGGGTGTCTGATTTTTTAGTCTCAGGAAGGATAGACAGCTGATAGTTTTAAGCAATGTTGTTCAGATTTGGGTCAATTTTAATGTGCAACTCACTACTTTGATTTTTACTGATTAACACAATAGCATTTCAAAATATTTCACTGCAACTAAAAGGAATGTCTGAGGAAGAAGACACACAGGTCTGATGACCTCAAACCCTCAGATATGCCCCAGGTTTTCAAAAATAATGTAATCTGCTAAGGAAGGTGTTTCATTAACTGACTTTTTTATCTGCTAAGATACATTGGGGGCTCTACAATTCTGAAAAAAAAAATTGCAACAGGACAAGTCAGAAGACTGGTGTTCTACAATTTGTTTCCAAGATGAAAGGAATATATAAACCATCAAGCATTATGAAACATACAACATATGATACTGCATGCGGCTGAAAATGAGCATGAACTTGTCTGTCAGCATTCAACAGAACCACAATTCCAAAACCTGAAGGATCTTACTCAATTTCTCAGTGTGAATTCTCATTGAACAGTGTCTTATATCACATCAACATTTGAGTGTACCTTGTACCAAATGGCAGTGGAGCAGTAAGGTACTGCTGCTGCCCTGGTATTTTGTTAGTCCCTGCCCTGCCACGAAGTATTGAACTCTTTACCTCCCCACCTCATCCCAGTTCCTCTCGCTGGAGATCTCCTCGTTTTTTGTCTCTCACCTCCTCCTTCCTCTCTTGTACTCTATAACACACCAGAGAGGCTGGCACAGTGCGAGGAGTGGACCCAGTTTCTTCACACAAAGTATTAAGAACCAACCCTCGCTATTTATCATACCTCAGATTATGTTTTATGAAGCTGCGGGATGTTGCCTTGCTTTTTAAGGGGTCCGTATCAAAACCAAGCGGATGCCAAAGGGCTGCCACAGCTGCCACCTGTCCGAGTCTGACACTGTTCGCACTGGGAACACGCCACGGCCACTCCGCCACCCGAGGCCACGTTTGCGGGACACCGAGACCCTCCCAGGGTGCCGTGACGGCTGAAAGGGATTGGAGGGCGGGGAGCACTGAGATGCCCCCATCATTCCCGGGCCTCCGTCCCGGCACCTTCCCGCCGCATCGAGCCTTTTCCCGGCAAGCCGAAGGCTGGGGCTCCCCCTCCTCCGCCGCCGGGAAGCCGCGGGGGCGGGCGGGCGCGACCCTCCCCGCTCTGGGCGCTCCCCGGGGAGGAGCCGGCCGGGTCGCACCGGGCCCACTCGCCAAGTCCGGCTCCGAGCGGCCAAACCCAGCCCCCTGGGTTCGGGGTGGGCGGGGAGGGACGGCCGGCCGGGCGCCTCTCCTGCCGGGAGCGGGAGGACGGGCGAAACTTTCCTCCCCGGCGGCGGCGGCGAGGCACCAGCAGCCGCCGAGGCGAGCGCCGCCAGCATGGGCCCCGACACGCTGCCGCTCGGCACCTACGGCGGGGCGGCCGCTGCCGCCGCCCTGCTGCTCTGGGCCGTGTGCGTGCTCTGCAGGAGGAGAAGGTACCGGGGCGGGGGGCGGCCGCCGCATTCCTGCACGGCCGGGCCGGGGAGCGGGGCTGCCGGCGGGCGCGGCGCCGCCGAGCCGCGCATTGGGCCGCGCTGCTCTCCGCCCGCCCCTCCGCTCGGGCCGCCCTATCAGCGCCCGCCGGGCCGGGGGCGGCGGCCCCCGCGGGATGGCGGCCCGGGGGTGGCGGCTCCCGCTGCGGCCGGGCCGGCGCCGGGGCCGCGGGCAGCAGCTGCGCCGCCGGGGGCGAGGGAGGGGCGGGGAGGCGCGGCGGGGGGCGGCGGCGGCTCCTCGCCTGACCTCGGGCGGGGGAGGCCGCGGGCACGTGGGATTCTGGTCTCCTCCCGGGTGTGCGT